AATATTTTATAAAAAAAATTATAATATTTCAATATTATGTGCCTAATATTATTGTTTCAGACTGCTCAGACAATCAGTTTCTTTTCATATTTAATCTCTTACCATTTATGTAATTAAATGAAAACAGATTTAACGAATAATTTTTATATACCCTGAACATCTTTTCTGGACTTGTTATAAGTTTGTGAGAATTATGACAAAAAATCTGCTAGTCCAGAAATGCAAATAAGTTGCAATTAGTTTTATATCTAACAACTCAAATGTGCAATTTCACAACAAATGTACTTATATTTAAATAAATTTAAAGCATATAAGTATAATCATTGCAGAGTTTAATATTTACATATATAATAAATATTTATTTTTAGTAACGATCAAGCTGAAATTGGAAAATGATCTTGGAGAAGTTTAATAGTCATAATATATATTTCAGAATGACAGACATTTTATATTTGAATTGGATGTGATATACGAAAATTGATTAAACGCTGTTTATAAGTATTTAATCATTATATACGAATGCTATAGCATCCACGTCAAGTAATATGCTTCTATTTCACGCAACGTGCTTGCCCAAGCTAATTAGTGAGTGCGGACAAAGATAATACGAAAACTCCTAAGGGGGCGTTCATTAATCACGTGAGGTTTTTCGGGGGGAGGAGGCTTTGACAATAAATCACGATATTACGTGTATTTATTTTTTAACTATTTTTTTAAAAAAAGTTCAAACATTTTCAAAAAAAAACAAAAATTTTACAGATTTTTCACGTAACTGAAAGTACACGTGATGTTTAGCGGGGGAGGGGGGTAATTTTGATTTTACGCTGGAAAAGATTGGATAAAGAGACTGCTGGAAAAGATTGGATAATACGAAAACTCCTAAAGTCAGTTAGTCATTACCTGAACATGCATAATAATCGCAAAAAAGTGAGGTTATATAAAATTAAATTCAAAATATTTGATTCAAAATCTTGAATGCTTTAGCATTCATTATTCAATTATCCAGAAAAATTCAGTAAGAGGCTAAAATTCACATATCGCTGAATAATTTAGGAGGCGTCTATTAATCACGCGAAGTTTTTAGAGGGAGGGGGGTTTGACAAAAAATCACAAAAAATCACGTGGGGGAAAGAGGGGTCTAGTAAGTATCACGTGTTTTTTTATCTGTTTTATTTTTATCTATATTTTCAGAAAAAGCAAAAAAATACCATTTTTTAGTAAAATTTGTTCAAAACATTTTACGTTATAAAAATACACGTGATATTTGATAAAAGAGGGGGGTTTAAATCACGACATATCACCATGGGGAAGGGGCGTCCAAAAATCGATCACGTGATTAATGCACGCCTCCTTATATATGCATTCAATTCCAAATACACAAAAAATTAGTCAAAAATTAAAATCTGAATGTACAAAACGATACTGAATTTTAAATGCAATTGCGATAAAATTGCAATAAATATATCAGTACATATGCGTTTTAATTATGCAAATATTTCCCACTTTTTCTGATGCAATAACTTTCAATATTACATGCAAACATTTTTACATTACCAGAAAAAGCAGATTAAGATTGTAATATGAAATCAACATATTTACAATTTTCATTGAATATTCGAAAACAAATTAATAAAATTGAAATAAAGGCTTAATTAACGCCTAAATAATGAAACTTTCAAATAAATGCGCCTTTAACATACGAAAAAATTTCATTGATGCATCGGTGGATACTAATTTTTATATAAAGGCAAGAGTAACATTCATTTTGAACATTTTTTCAAGTGATTATTTTTGCAATTACTATTATTGCTATTCTTACCCGTGGGTAAGTGGTTAAAGCTATGGGACTTAAATCAGAAGTCCCATTTTCCATACCCACCTCGGGCAGCCTGATGTCAAGCAGTAGTGACACTGATTTTTACTTGGAAATATAAATAACAACATGTTTCCAAATGAAAACAGCCATTACCCAACAAGTATTATCAAAATTGTATTTTAGACCACTAAATTTGTTTCTCGAAAAAAACGAAAATATAGGATAATTTTTATCATGATTATTGAAATAAATCAGCTTTGGTGAAAAGAAATTAATGAAGATTAGACAAACAAGAAATTTCTTCTTATTCATAGAAAGTAGTTAATAAACTACAGTTTTGTAGACAATACTTTTCAAAATAATTGAAAAATTAATGACTAAATTGAAATAAAAATTTGGTAACTCAAATATTGCGATTGTTTCTTTTGCGTTTAGTACCTTTAAAATAATTTAGTTTCAGTATTTATTACAGTAATCAATAAAAAAAATTAATCAACTGTATCGATAAAAAATTCATCACTGTTACAGATGTAGTTAATATAAATCAAAAATCTTTTAACAAATACAATAAAAGTATGTATTTGAAAGGCCAAGAAAGATAATATTATCCATATTATTTTCAGAATGTTGTTTGGTTGATAACTTTTATTAATATAAATACTATCTATTAATTATGTAAATAGTAGAGCGTTGGTATATATTTATTCTGTTAATATGAAAAACAAACGGTATATCATCACATGTTTCACACAAATATATGATTTAAATATTCTCTGTTAGCAACAACTGTATAAAAACTAAACACTTTACATGCTGTTTAAATAATTCAGAACATTAATTATTAAATTCACAAGTTTATTGAGAAATATTTAGGCTAAACATCAGAACATAAACTTGATGTTAATTAAAATTACAAAAAGTAACAGCAGTAATGTATTATTTAATATCAATTAACAAACACAAACATTTTATCTAAGGTATGACAAAATGTTCAAAAGGCTTGAAACTTAAAAATATCCAAGAACATTTCATTGTTTGCGATTACTATAACTTGAACTACAAATTCAATATATTGTTTAAATATATTATATATTTCTTTATAAATGTACATTTCATACAGCAATAAGTTTTTACATCGCACTAAATACTAATTATTTTTATGAACACGGTAATATAAAAAAGTTTCACAAAGAATAATACAAAAGTAATTTCTTGGCTTGATATCAAAATATACAAGATATTACTGAATGGATTTTTTTCTTGAAGTTTTGATCAACACTATGAATTTCTTATGTGCATTTAAATATGGTAGTAAACTTTTGTCTCTAATCGGTTCATTTTTTTCGTTGAGAATGTGATATGTCGGCTATTTAATTAATATAATTTTCTTTTTCTGATAAATTGTGATACACATTGTAACATAAAAATACACATTGATCACAATTATTTTATTTCCGTAGATTTATCACATTTTATAAGCAACACATATATTAATTATTTACTTTTTTATAAACAAATATCAAAATAGTATTTTAGACCACTAAATTTGTTTTTCGAAGAAAGCAAGATTATAAGATAATTTTTATCTTAATTATTGAAAGAAATCAGCTTTGGTAAAAAAATATTAATGAAGATTATATAAGAAAGAATTTTCAACTTATTCATAGAAAGTTGTTTTTCAAAATAATTGAAAAATTATTAACTAAATTGAAAGAAAAATTTGATAACTGAAATATTGCAGTTGTTTCTTTTGCATTTAGTCCCTTTTAAATTATTTAGTTTCAATTTATTTTTTACTACAGTAACATTAGCAAAATTAATATTAATTTAACGTTTACCATATTAATGCCATGCACATTATGGCATTTTTTGAGCATGTAGTTATATTAAGATGATTGTTTAGCTAATATACATTTATGTACATAAAAACATATTTTAATTTCCCATACTTTAATATATTAATTTTTAATCCCTAAATTAATTTTATTTCATATTTTTTTTAATTATATTTCAATTGTTCAAAAATAAATATAGACATATTGAAATATAATATATGTGCTTATTAAGCATATAGTTCTTTATAAATAATCTAAAATAATCATAATGTATATTTAAAGTATATGCAATTAATTATAATTTCAAAAATTATTTCTAAATATTGAAATTTGCTCAGTTTGACAATGTGCACTAGTTTTGGTGGTCATCCATTAATTATAAAAATTTCTAAGTATTCAAAAAACCTTGTTTTGTTAAAATATATATAAAAGGCTGTTTAGAATATTGTTTCAAAGGATAGAAAATAAAGATATAGAAAAAAATTGTATGAATGCTTTAATATGGAATTATAACCCAATAAAATAAAGAAGGAAGTTATCGAATATTTATTTTTAGCTCTAAAAAATTTAAATTTACTGCAGCACAAATAACTTCTCATTATTTTCTGCAATATGAATTTACATATAGTGCTTTAACTGCTGCAATATAATTGCCAGAAAAAAAAAAAAAGGCCACACCCAATACCAAAGAGGTGCAAGAAACCCACTTATTCCATAATCCCAAATGTAAATAACGAATGCCCAATAATGAATCCTAAAAGTTAGAACTAAATAGTGATCAGTTGCATTTTTGCATTTACAAACCATAAATCAAAAACAGTGCAATGTCATATTAATACACACTAAAAGTACTATATTCATATTCTGTTTCATTGCTATTAATGCTATTTTCTCCAATCTCTTGTTTTGGATCTTACACAACTCCAAATAATGAATGAATTCATATAATTTTGAAAAATTTAGAATAAAAACTATAGAATCTTCAAAGTAATTTGTTCAAACACACTTGTTGGTATGTTTTAAAGCAACAAATAAAAGCTTTACAATGTGTATGAGAACACTCGAGATTTATTATTCATGTTAGATGAGACCCTTTAATAATTATAATATGTCAGTGCATATTAATATGTAAATCATTTAATGATACTGAGCCCAATAAAAATTAATATCTTTCACATTTAAAATGTTCAAAATTATATCTAATTATCTCAATACATATTGTGATAAAATAATTATTTGTTATAATATTAGAGAGACAAGAAGCAATATCGTTATAAATTTTGTAAGTCCTCCTTTTTTTGTTTCATTAACTTAAATAATATACTTATTTTTGGGTTTTAATTGATTATTTCCAATTATTTCATAATTTTTATTGCAATAATGATATCACAGGTAAAAAAATAAAAAGTAACTCCAAATATGATTACTATTTTTCATAAAAGCTATCTTACATAAGTTTGCTCTAGCAATTTATTGAATTCTTTTTTGTCAGCCTGTTTTTTTGGTTTACAATTTTGTATTGAATAACTATCCATATGTGCTTCTTGTTCTCTTGAATGTGTCATGCTTCCATTGCATATTAAAATATGATCTTCAGTCCTCTCATTATGATCATCAATAGCTAAACTCTCTCCTTGGGGACCAGATTTAGTGTCGAAACTGTCTTCATATTTATTCAACAAATCTTTATAATTAATTTTCAAAGTATTATTATTTCTTCCATCGACTTCGTCAAAATCTACTACTGATATCGGATCTTGAGTTGTTTTGTCAAAATTCCTAAATCTATCTTCGAATATTCTTTGTCTATGATCATGAGCCAAGATAGGGTCTAATATTGTTTTGGTTTTTTCTATCCTCTGTTCAAATCTGACCCGATCTCTGCCATACTGCTCCCATTCGCCCTTTCGAGCCTGATGGTAAGCAAAACTCCATGCGACCATGTGATGTACTACAGGATCCTTTGTATCAAAACTAACCTGGAATGGAGAAAAATATGAAATAAAATTTATACTGCAGTAATTTCTAGTTTATTTTTAGTCGCAGATAGTCCTCAGAAACATTTCCGATTTTTTTCTTCTTTTTTGAACAATTTGTAAAGGTTTGTAACAATTTGTAAAGTGTGAACTGTTAGTATCTTCTTAGTGCCATATAGAAAAATCAGGATACCGAAAATAGCTATTACTACACTTATAAAAATATTTTGAATGAAATAAGCGTGTCCTTGTCCCAAGATGTGTAACCGAATAGGGCCGTTAGTATTTATCTATTGTATAAAAATAAGTTGGGTTTTCCTTCCTGACGATATAACTCCAAAACGCACGAACCGATTTCGACGATTTTGCATTCGTTGGAAAGGTCTCGGACTCCGTGAGGTTTATAGCAAAGAAAATTGAAGAAAGATTTCAACAGAAAAGCGGAAAATACTTTTTTCACATACAGCGTCATCTCTGATACTTAGCATGTACTACAAACTAATATTTTTTGTTTGACTGCTACTCATTGTTCTCTGCTCAGTTAATTTCATGTAACAAACCGGCATTCTGTTCACTGTGAAATTGTGCAAAAAAGTAAAAAATAAGCTATTCGTTTCCTAGCATTTCAATTGGAAACCATCAAATCAATCACATGTATTGTGCAAATTTTTATTCAATTTCAACAGCAGGCAATTTTTTCCTTCATCTTTTAATCATGAAACGAAATGTTACATAAAATGAAACCATCTGGTGGTGAAACGGAGTTCGCCAGGTTTGCTAGTTATTAATATGACATAATGCACTGTTCTTTTTGCATTATAAAAATAGTTGGATCAACATTATCAAAACACTATCTTTCATAAACTTGATCACTTTAACGAATAAGTATGGTATATGTTTTTTTGTATAGTGAAGGAAATGCCAGACTAGGTCTTTTGTCTGGGTATGCGCACACGCAGTGTACATGTGTTCATAAAGTTTTATGTTCATAATTATATGGTCATTAGGGCGGGGTCGATTTGTATGGGTAAAACAAGTGGCATAGGTACATATGATTTTTGGATATTAGGGATCAAAACAAGATACTTTGCCGAAAAATCTCTAAAATGAATTCTGATGACCCAAAAATTGAATTTTGATTGATTGAAAAATTGATTGAATTTTGAAAAATCCTGTTTTGGCTCATATAGAGAGTCCCAATAGTGTCCAAATGTATGACCGACCCCCACTATCTTTCGAAGGCCGATCTACCCATGCCCATGGTTTACCCCCTGGGACCTCCCCTTAGAGGTCCGGCATGGTTTCTTCAGCATAGTATCTTGTTTTGATCCTTTGTATCCGAAAATCATATGTGCCTAAGCGTTTTTTAAATTGATCCGCCCTAATGTACATATACTAATTTTCTTGTGATAACAAAACAATTTTTATTTTTTCAATATCGTACACAAATAAAAGGCCATCTCCTTTTAAAAGCTACTATAAAATAAACTAATTACTCAATGACTTCCCATCAAAATATTGTGATTTATATGAAACTAAAAAAAATATGCTGTTAAAAGAAAGTTATTTTATAGAAAATTTTGATTGAGTTTAAATAATAAATACTCTGAACTTATTAAAAATATAATTGATATCTTTATATTGATATAGATATAATGTAAATATAATTGATATAGATATCTTGAAATGTTATCTAATATAAAAGTTACAAATTGTGCGCATTACATGTGTGTGCTTTTTAGATAAATTTATGACCAAAATTTAACACCATTACTTATGTTAGTTAAATAAATAAAATATGAACTTGCTAATATATAAATTAACTTCAGATAAAAAATAATTTTAAGATAAAACAAAAGATATTGTTTTTTCATGAAATAAATATAAATTTCGATATATATTAAATTAGGTTATATGTTGTTTAATGAATTTGAATTTGTAAAATTACCAATGTCTAAATTAGACAATGAGGAAAATAAACATAAATTTACGGAAACGTATGATGCTATTGTTATTTTATTTATTATGGAAAAGATCTCGAAAAAAAATTTAAATTATGAAAATATATACATTAAAAGGAAATTTTTCATTCTATAATTTACCAAGTATATCACGTACGTTGCACACACTTCAACAAAGTATGCTCTAAAACTATTTATTATTGTTAACAAATATTTATAAACATACAACGATTAGAAATTCCGTCATGGTTCAATAATCTGAGTTATTTAAAAACGTGTTGTTTGAAATGGATTTTAAATAATTTGTTATATTTAGAGAACTATATATGATTTCATGCACATATTTAGTATGGATGTAGTTGTGATGCTCTCGTACAATGTATGGTATCAATAGATCTTTGTACTGTATAAATTTTGATAAGAAGAAATCAAAATTAGGCTGATGCAACATATGAAATATCGTTATCTTGGTAATTTTTTGAAATCCAAAGTAATCAATATAAGAAACAATAGAATTACATACTTTTTTCTAGATACTACTAGCCGCTAAAGCAGCGATTAAATGCTTCGACGTACGAGCAACATTCGAGATACGAGCGAAAGAAAGAAAGAAGAATGTCTATTTCAAGTCATTTCCGCAATAATATGATTTTTATAATATAATGATTTTATTTCTCAAGATTCAATTACAATCAGTTTTGGCAACAAAAAAAACATTTAGTAATAATGAATGACAATATGGTGAACAATAATATGGTGACAATGAATGACAATATGGTGACAATGAACCAAAATGGGTATATTTGGTTTTCCATTGGTATTCCTTTTTGATTGAAAAGATTTGTTTGTGATCTAGGTGACTTTAAGAAGCTTAACTAATAGTCCAAATACACAATAAAAATAGTGAATTTTAAATTAAGTAATAATAATAATAAAGAAAAAAAAAATAAGATAAAATTGAATAAATAAATGAATAAAGAATCAAAAAACATAAAAATACTAAAGTTGTATCTACGTGTTAGCTGCATATCATGAATGGTCAGGAAAAAACAATAATTAAATGAATAAAATGTAAATTTATTTTTAATATTCAAAGAACTTAACAAAAACAACAGAACGAATTAATGACAATTCAATGTATTTATAATGGAAAAATTGCTTCGAGATACGAGTGTGGAGATACGAGTGTGGAGAATTGAACTCGTATTATGTCGGGATTAAAGAGAAAGCTACTGACGAGGAAGCTGAGTATCGACTTGTGGAACAGACTGTAAAAGTGTTATGGTTGGATCATAGCTCTGTACGGATCAGAGACATGGACTCTAAGAAAAGCAAAACAAAAACTTTCTCGACAATTTTGAAATGTGGTGTTGTAATGGAGAAGATAAAGTGTACAGATAAGGTAACTAATGAAGAAGTCCTGAGAAAAATGGGCAAAGAAAAATCTCTACTGAACACAGTCCTGAATAGAAAAGGATCAGACCCATTATGCAAAAAGCTCCTATGCGACGTCGTTGAAGGTAAATAGTACTAAAGAGAATGGTAAGGAGAAGAATGCAGCTGGTTGAAGACATACGCGAGACGAAGAAATACAGAAAATTGAAAGTGGAAGCACAGGATCACGAAACATGGAAGTAGAATTTTGGAAAGTGAATAAATGGAGATTAATTATAGTAAAATGGTAATGATAATAATAAACAAGGGAGGAAAAGAGAATCTTTGATTTGTTGTGCTCTAACATCATGGACCTGCCTCCAGACAGACTATTATTAACTTCCCGTAGGGTAGTTATAGTAATGGGCCAAAAATCGAAAATGAAAATTTTTGCATTTCTCGACGTTTTGAAGGTTTCTGAACATTTTGGCCTACCTCAGAAAAAATGGATGTTAGCGTGTGTGTGTATGTGTGTGTTTTGTATGTCCGCAGTTTTTTGTCCACGTTTTCGGGCGCACGGATCAACCGATTTGAATGGTTTTAAAAACATTCGATTCCTAATAATAGGGAGATGTGCTGATTAGTTTTTGGCAAAGGCAGGTCCAGCCGTTACGGAGATATGGAGCAAAGAGTGCAGAAAATAGAAATCGAGTTTTTGAGACAACGGATCATCCGATTTGTATGATCCAAAAAACATTCAGTTCGTGATGATGGGGAAAAGTGACTATTAGTTTTTAGCAAAGGTAGGCCCAGCGGTTTCGCAGATACAGAGCTAAATGTTATAAAAACGGCAGTTTTTGAGAAAACTAAGCGTCCGATTTGAATGATTCAAAGAACTTTCTGCTTGTTTCAACAAAATAATTGCTTTTGGAAAAAAAAATTGTTTCTAATTTTTTTTTTCAAAAAATATTTTTGTAATTTTGGATTAAAAATTCAAAAAATTGCCCAGGCTAAGCACAGTCTAAGCGCCACTCTGGTACAAATGCTTACCCAAGTGCGTTTAGACTGTTTATGTACTGGAGCACATTTCCAATTTTGTGAAAACTATTGAAAAATGTGAAAATGCCGCCAGCTAAGCACAGTATAAGTGAAAATGTCGCACAGAATTATTTGCAAATGCGTTTAGACTGTGACTATGCGGGAGCAGTTTATCAATTTTGTGTAATTAGGCAACTAGTTTTTTTTTTTAAATTGAATTCGAAATGAAATGACGGTTGTTAATGTTCTGGAGATAAATTGATTTATGATTTACATTTTATTTGCTCAGATATAACAAGATAGCAAAAATAATGAAAGTTACAGTATTTGTAATAATATATTTGGAAAACGTTTAAAATTTCTCGAATATTTCATTACGATACGGGAAGTTCCAGCAATTTGCCTTAAGGCACGATGCCATGCGTCCCACTAGTTTATCATTATGTCGGGGTACCACTGTACTCGAATTTCATTCACTCTCAGTATGTTGGCATTGGACGCCACTGTTTTAAATGTAACTTCAAATTCTAACATATGTCGAAGCATATGTCGTGGATCGCGCATGCTTGAGAACTCGTACTAAATCATGACGTATATATGCGACGTATATACTATACGTCAAGGGCAACAGGTTCCTCGAAAAGCTTTGATATTCTTGTCTGAGAAATTTGTGATTCACACTATTTATTTAAAAGATTCCTAATAATAAAACTAAGCGTCATTGAATTTAAAATATTTATAAACTCACTGATAACTAGCAAATGTTAAATGATAAATGTAAACAAATTGCAATTTTAGCAACAATTTAAATATAAATAGTTCATGTGTATTTGTATCATTTTAGATTTTTACATAAATAAAAGGTAAATCATTGGGCTGATCTTTTAAAAAAACACTATTGATGGTGATCAAACTAATTACTCAATGTCTACCTATACATTGTCTATAGATTGTGAATTATATGCAAATACTAAAAAAAACTAGTGGGGTGCATGGCATCGTGCCTTAATGCAAATTGCTGGAACATCCCGTACCATAATCAAAAATCTCGATACGGAACTCAAAAAAATTTACACAAAATGCGTACACAATATTAAAATATCTATAAAATATCTGATAATTTGATGTGCATATGTCTAATGATCATTTTTGACCGGCCAAAAGGCATTTTTTTAAATTATTTTTATTGAGAGTCCATAACCACTGGATCTGCCTTTCCAAAAATTTGATCAGTGCTTCATCTTGACAATACAAGTAAAATGTTTTTTACATAATTAAATTGGACGCTCCGTTCTCGGCACTTTTTGCCCGTATATACGGAACGACTACACCTGCCTTCGCCAAAAACTAATCAGCATGTCTCCTTATCAATACGAATCGAGTGTTTTTTGAATTACTCAA